GCCAGTACAATAGCTGTGACCTTGGTGGTTTGGCATTACCTTTCAGTATATTGGGCATGCGATATACTCAACGCTCATGAAAACTTTCCTAGTGGAAAATTATAAAAATCTTCTGAGGTGTCTGGGCAGTGAGAACCATAGCGAGCAGCTCCTGTACCCCTTGGGAGAGGCTGGACGCGCCGCACCGGCGATGGCCAGGGCTGAAGGACACGTGTGAAGCACCAGTCAAAGGTGAGGAGCCTCCATCCGTGACAAGCCGAGGCTGAGAGGTCTGCCGGGCGCACTGGGACTTGCGTGATGCCAGAGATGGTGACTTCCACGGTAAAATACCTCAGGGTGTTGCAGAATGCAGAATGCCTTGGCTTGGTTTTTCCCCTTAGTCTTACCTGACCAGTGTAGTGGTAGCACTGTGACAGTTAATGTTCATCTGGTAATGGGGTACAATGGCAAGACTTCATTTTTTTCATACGTTAACCCATATTAGTTGTATTTGTAAAGTTGTGTTTTATTGAAATTTCTGTGCATTCTTCACTTTGAAATACAGCATTAAATAAATATACAACACTAAGGCTTTCTACTTAAGGTAGAAGACTCTATTTCTTGTACTAGTTTTGTTTGATTCTGCTTGGTGATTCTGCTGGTGATCCTTGGAGCCTTTTCATTCCTGCAGTTTGTGGTACTGAAAAACAATTTGTAGTTGCCTTTAGCAGTCTTCTTTAAAAGGATTTTTGTAAGATTGCTGATTTTTTTTCCTTCAGTTCTACATTAAAAAGAAATGTGTAGGGTATAATATAAATAAAATAATGCCAATACTTAATATGAATCTAGAAAAGGGAAGAGTTGCAGACTGTTAGAATTAGATTTTGATACCTGAATGTCACAGGATAGCTGCCATACCTTTTCTCCATCACTGTGTCTTCCATTTTTCTCTGGAAAAAAAAAAAGTGGTAAAAGATTCTCAACTGTTCCTTCTTTTTGGATCACTGATAAGGAGCAAGGATGAATGCAATAATAATGCTTTGGTATCCTTAAATGAATAAGAAATAATCCAAATTAACAAAGCGATTTTAAAAAGGAAAGCAATAATGATGAACTGATGATATGGGGGGCAAGGTGGAGGAATAAATTAAATTAAATGAATTAAGGCATAAGAAGTTTAATGTCCATATGAGGAAGAACTTCCTCATTGTAAGGGTGACAGAGCCCTGGCACAGGCTGCCCAAGGAGGTTGTGGAGGCTCCTTCTCTGGAGATCTTCCAAACCCACCTGGATGCCACCCTGTGCCCCGTGCTCTGGGTGTCCCTGCTGGAGCAGAGGGGATGGACTAGATGATCTCAAGGGGTCCCTTCCCAACTCAACCATTCTATGATCGTGTGAATTCTTGGTTGCTCAGCTGAAGAACGTCTGTCCACCAAGGGCAGTGGAGAGCTTCCCATGCTGGAGCAGCCCTTGCTTCCTTCAGGTCAGTCTGGGTCCGGTCGCATTATGGTCATATGGACATGCAGCTTTTGGAGGGATGGGAACAAAAACCTGAGAACTTGTGCTCAGATTTTAGTGATTGATGTTTTTAAGTATCAGTTGAAATGTTAAAGTTGAACAGAGGCAAGCACTTGTACCATTTTTGTCTTTCCTGCCCACTGGTTTGCAGCTCTTTATTTCTGCCCACTGATGCTTTTGTAGGCTGCCTAGTGAACTGCATTCATCAGCTCTCCAAAAAAAAAAAAAAAAAAAAAAAAAAAAAAAAAAATTTACAATCAGATTTTGCAGATAAAATATTTAAGCTCCAACTTTCATTTTGCTCCTATGGTGTCTTAAAAAAGCTCAAGCCCAATAGGCAAAATATTTAGATGTTCAGCCTACTTTCCAGTAGCTCTTAAAACATCTATGAGGGGTAAAATCATACTTTGGAGAACCTTTTTTGTGGGGGTGCATTTTCTTCTGTTTCTTTTTTTTTATTTGTTTTTGCTTTTTCCTTCTGATTTTTTTTTTTTTGTTTGTTTATTTCTGGGTGTTTTGGGGGGGGCAGTGTATTGGGGTGTTTTTTGTGTTGTTGTTTTGTTAGTTTGTTTCCCCACCTTCACGTGCCGCGTTTCCCACGTCTGGGAGCTCCTGGGCAGGGCTCCGTCAGAGCAGGGCGCCACAGGTCTCCCTGTTCGTGTAGTTTCCCTTTGTGGAGCTGCTCTATCAGCAAGAACTAAACCTGCAGCAGTGGTGAAAAATGTCAGGTTGTCAGTTTTTAAAAATACTGTGGGGGTGGCACTGACAAAATGCCCTGTCCGGGCTCTTTCCCAAGGCTCAGCTACGCTGATCCCTCACCGGTTTATTCCCGGCATTCCCAAATGAAGGCAGCTCCAGGAGAAAGGTAAGAGACACGTATGTGGAGGCGGCAGCAGCAGCAGCAGGATTGGGGAGGCAGATTCTCTGTTTGCAGAGGGTGATGGAAGTCGATCTGCAGCTAGTCACGAAGCAGCAGCAGGACTTGGTGATAGCAATTTGTATCTTTACTGAAAATAGCTATTATGACCAATTATGAGCTATTTTAAATTTAAAAAGTGTGCAGCTTGTTTTAAGCTTTTTTTTTTTTTTTCTCTCTTTGACATTCTTAGGGATCTACAGTAAAGAACTTGTCTAGGTAATTTGCAAGGTAGTGGCCTGGAAAAAATCTCTTTCATTTTGCTGTAAAAAACTATTCATTAAACATTACAAACTCATTTTTTTTCCCCGGTTCTTGCACTAATACAGTGATTTTGACAATTTTTAAAAAAATATTTGACACCTTAAGTGCTGTTTAAAATAAAGACTAGAAAATACGGAAGCCAAATGCAAGGTTGTTAACTAGACAAAACTAGACTTTTCACTATGGGGAAGGGATCAAAATCCCTTGGAATATGGGAATGTCTCAGCTGATGAGGTGTGGTCAGTGTCTGTCTTGAAATCTCCTTTGCTTTTCCGGAGAAGTAAACTGGATTGTGAACTTCCATTATTAGGAACAAATAAACAACTCGGGAATCCAGTTTTTCTCCTTTACCTGTTTTAATTAAGAATGATGTTAAGCGTGAAGGTGTTTTTTCTGTGACTGTTCTTGAAGAGGGCGTTGAGGATAAGCGAAGTTGTGCAGCCATCCCTAAATGATAATATAATCTTGTTGACTGCTCAGTGACACTAGGAGTAGCTCTGTTGGTAAACAAAAGAAAGCTCTAATATTTAGATTTTCAACCTCATCTATAGAATAGATGGCCTTTTTAAGCTAAATTTGTGTTTGGCCTGAAAGAATAGCAGAAATGCACCATAAACTTAACTAATTGGTGCATCATCTTCCTTTCTGGTCCACAGAAAAGCCTTGGGGTCCTTACTTTTCACCCAAAAAGAATTAGGAGACCCCTCCCTTCCATTGTAATCTGTGCCATTGTAATCTGAACTTTTCCCTGAGTGAAATGCTAGGATAGACAGTAGTGGGTGACTCAGTGATGTCATTAAGGATCAAAAAATCTAACTTGTGTTTTCAGTTATAAGAATTGACAGATGTATACAATGAATGACAGAATTTTTCTTGATTGTGTTTGTGTGCTGTCCAGGAGACTGTCCAGGAGTTGTCCCATGCACAACTGGTCAGATGCGTTGGCTAAACTGTCATTTCTAGCTACCAGGCTGAGGCAGAAGGGTTTTGTTTGTTTTGGGGTGTTGTTCTTTTTCCCCCCTGCAGGAAAAGGAACAGAGTTTGTTCTGAGTTACTATTGCACGTGCCTGTAGACTGGATTAGATTTTGTTTTTTATTTCCCATTTTGCACAGCTTTATGTATTTGAGCTTTAGATGCTTGTACCAAATATCTCTCTGTGTGTTTATCTGTGTGTGTGTGTGTATTTATACATATATTAATTAAGCAAAAAAGCTTACCAAGAACTTCTGTTATTTTGAGGGCACAAAAGCAATCTTCATAAAATACAAGTTTGACTTAGGGGTTAACACAAATGTTTTACGAAAGCAATAATTTTATAAAATGTCTTTCTTTTAAAACTTCCGGACCAGTCTTAAATTTTACGCAATAATACTGCTAATTGGCAAACCTAAGATTAGCAATATGTTGCAAAAGATAGCTTGGGGCTTGGTTTCTTTTAAAGTACTGGAATACTCATTCATGCGCTTGATAAAAAGCATACTTAGAAGGCGGGATCATTTAGCAGGCTCGGCAAACCGCGTGGCTCTCCAGCTGACGTAACAGCATTTTCATAACCAAAACTGTTAAAATAAAAGGAGAAAATATTCAGAAGATCTCTTTTTCTGAGAGAGTGTAAAAAAAAGGAACTTGGCTTTTAATTAACCAAGTGGTTTGCTTGTTTCACACGGATGGAGTGGTAGCGGAGGGGTGGGAAGGGCCAGGCCGCGCCTGCCGGGACCAGCCGCTCCGAGGGCAGGTTCCCGGGCGCAGGGAGCGGGGCAGCCCTGCTGGCCAGGAGCCTGCTCTTGTTCAGGTTGCGGGGGGGAGAAGGCCTGACCTCTTTCTGGTTTCTTGTTCTCTTTTCTGTGCAATTTCATGGTGGCTGACTCGCTTCATGATTAGCCTAAAATAAATCAGGAGTTGGTTCTTATTCTGTCGCCCCGCTCAGCCTGGCCTCCCGGCGTCCCAGCTCTTTGCAGCTAGATCACTGGCTTTAAGGTTTTTGGAAGGATATGTATTCTCGCTTTGATGAACTCTACTGTCTGCTAAGATTTCATTTCAAGGAATTACGTGTAAGCTTCATGGAGGAACGGATGTTTCTTAAGAAGCCCAATAAGAGAATTAAAGTAGAGAGGAAGTTTCTAGAGAGTCTTTTTTAGCTGGTTTCTGCTAAGTGGATGTTATGAAAGCACTCAACCTCCTCTGCGTTAACTACTGTGATCTTTGGAGATTTCTGTTTTGGGGAGTCTTTTTTGTTCATTTGTTCATTGTATTAATAAAAAAAAATGGATACTTAGCTTTGCATTTATGGAAAACTAATTTTTGCTTTCGCATCTCTTCCAGTAATAGTTATGCACGAGTGCGAGCTGTGGTGATGACCCGGGATGACTCAAGTGGTGGATGGTTACCGCTTGGAGGGGGTGGACTGAGCTGTGTCACAGTCTTCAAAGTCATTCACCAGGAAGAGAATAGCTGTGCTGATTTTCTTATCCATGGAGAACGACTCAGGGATAAAACGGTAATGAATTGCATCTGCATTGAACCTAAGAATAGACACTTGCTTGTTGTTGTTCATACGTTAGAAAGCAAACGTACAGTCTCAGTCTAATGCTGTTGCTGAGCTGTTATCCATCTCAGTGCTCATATACCCAAAGAGCCACGTATTTCATTTCTGTAGTACCATGTGTTTCAAGAATTAAACAAGCTGATCTTCCCAAAGCTCTAAAACATAGTTTTTCTTTACAGGTTTACATTCATTTGGAAAAACACTTTTTCTACATGTTTTGGGGTGTTTTTTTTTTCTCCCAACAGAGGGTCAAAGTAAAAGCTCTTTGCTAGCTTATTTCTACACTGATGTTACTGTGTAATATCTGTGTTGTCGTCATATAGAAAGTAAGATACCTTACTGAAAACAGTATGAAGGAATTTCTCAGGAAGTTTCAGGCTTTGGCTATGACCAATAAAAGGCAGCTACTTCACATGAAAGCAGCTTTTTTATCGGAAGAAAGCATAAAATTTTCAGGTTGAAGAATCCTTCTGGTTTCATTAGCAAGAAGGTATGCATAGGCCAGCTACATTACCATGAAGTATTTACAATATAGTTGTCCTGAAAGACTTCATGAATGCTACCCTTGCAATACCAAGACTGTAGTGTCTTCTGTAGAGTCTTGGCTGGTTTTACGTGCAGACCTGTGAAAGAGAAGTTTGGCTTGTTGGGACATGATCTGCTGGTTACTTGGATGCCAAGTAGACTTTTCAAGGGGGTTGTCTTAATGTGAAAATAAAGAGAAATAGAAAAAGTGATGGCTTCTGCCAAGGACTTGGCTCTTTCCTGACAATTATGTACACCTTCTGTGTAAGCTTAAGAGGTAGAATTGCCTCTTATATTGTACTGCTAATTCTTTTTCAAGCACACCAACTTCTCCCCTGAGGCAGGGCTGCTGAGTTTTCTGCCTTGACTGGCTGCTGTAGGAAGAAAGCATATAAATAGAAATTGTGCTGACTCAGTCGTTTCAGCGAGGCGTAGTGCTATTAGCAGAGTACCCTGTGTTCCTGCACAACTATGTGCACCTGCAGCTTTTTCCTCACTTTGCAGTAGTTCACTTTTTAGCCTTTTTAAGGATGTTTTTGAGGTGCTTAGTTCCACTTAGAAATGCTTGACAATTTTCTCTAATTCTTAATACTTTCAACTTTCACAGCTTTGCTTCGCAACCTCAGGGGGATGAAATGCTCAGGACGGAAGGCTAATTTATTGCTTCCCCAAAATGTGTATGGAAGTATTGAAACAATGAGTGTCCTGACTGGGGTGTCTTCTCTCCATTCATCCTCCAGCACAGGCACTGTTACATTTCTGCTTCTCATGGAAGACTAAATTCTTCCGCTCCTGTCCAAATATGAGCTGAATTTAATAAAAATGTTTTCCAAACCTTTATACTCCTGAGCAGTTTGGGATTCCCCACCCCGTCTGTTGACCTACTAATCTGTCACGGCAGATTTTGTTCTAGGAAGTTGCTCTTTGAAGTCAAGCCCTCAAAAACAGAGGATAGGAAGAAGCACAAGCTAGAAGAACATTTGTGCAGTGTGTACTGAATAAAGTTCAGGAAACTGGCAAACAAATACAGACGAGGGCTGTGAGAGGAATATTGCAGAGCCAGGGATGCTGGCAGAGTGAAACAGTAAAAGGAAGCAGTATGTGCATACACTTCCTCAGGCTTCAAATGAACTGTTTCTCATCAAAAGCTAATGAATTAACAACGAAGTTACGCAGGGTAATTTAAGACACCTGTTAGCATAAAGGAAACAAGATCCTAGCAGGGTAGATGAGGATATCCTGAGGTCATGGTGCTCTTCCAGGATGGTAGCAGGGATTCGGTGAAGGGAAATCCTGTTAGATAAGGATCAGGTCACTGATCTTAAAACAGTTTTGATCTTTATGCTTGCTATATTACTAATGCCTTACATTTGTTTTAAGGATATCCTTCATGGATTTTTCATTTGAATACGATTTTTAAAAACCCTTTGCCTTTTCAGTCCATGGTTATTTTTTTGTACTGATTACTTTTTTTTTAAATCTGAATAGAATTTGCAGTTTTCTTGTATTCTTGTATTTTTAATATTTCGGTTATTAAGACTTTAAATACATGTTGTCTTGCTGGCTTCAAGGATATTTCATCTGTTTTAGTATCTTAAAGTCATTATGGTTTGGTCAGCTGGACTGCAAATTACTCACATTTTTGCTTTATAAAAAGATATACACTAATTCCAAAAATACTTTTATGGGGTTAAAAAAAGACATTTATAATAAATGGAATATTTTTTCTGTCAAGTCACTGCATGCACGGTTAAAATATATTCCTAATTGGACTACATTTTTTTTTTTCTGTGGCCAGGAGGCATTCTATTGACTGGTACTGCTTCTATGGGAGATACAGAAATTCTCTTATTCTGGAAAAACCCTTATGATGAACTCTGAGCGCTTTTCTGCTGGATGGGGAAACAAGAGTTTTGGAATATACTTCAGACTAGGAAGAGCAAGCAGAATTCAGATATGTGTTTTTTTCCTAAGATAAAGGAACCATAAGCCTGTCAGTTAAGAGGACAATATTATTATTCATCCTTATGTTTCCAAAGAAAAATATCAAAGTCATAATTAAGGTGTTGGGAGGTATCTTCCAGCAGGCTCAAAAGGAATGAGATGAATCTTTTGCCTTATTGCTTCTGGGCAGCTGGCCGTGATTGTTTCCCATCCAAGTGCAGCCTCCAGCAGTACTGCCAATTTCAGCTCCCTTTTGAAGAGCCAAATCTTCCTATACACTTTATAGGTTATGTGGGCATTTAATTGAAGACTGTAGATCTCAGTCGGTAAGTGGAGACAATAAATTAAATACTTGGGAACTGAGCATCAAAATATTGGAATTTCTTATTGCAGAGGCCATAGGGGGAGAGGACGTATTCTTTATACATCAGAATTAATTTACTGTCAGCACTGTTATGAACCAAGTTCAATTATATGTAGAATTTCAAAAAATCCATACAGTTTATTTTAAATATGTGATGGGATTGAAGAAAGTGCATCCCAGTCATTTGTGAAGTAAATCAAAGCACTGTCACCATTGAATCAATTTAGAAGAGGGGCTGCTCGCTGCTAGTTTACCCAACTTGTTTAGATCTGTGTAGGAATGCAAAGATATTTCACAAAGTACCCTTGACATAATTATATGTTTCCTGCTTCATTTTATGCGCCCTCCTAGGTCTGGCTCCAGCCAGTCTGCTGGGAAGAGATACTCTCCATCCTAGCACCGCTGCTCTGTTCATCTGCCTTTTCACTGGCTTGATTCTAGTTTACTATCAGCAGCGCTAAATGTACTTTAGGCTCAAGCATATAGGTTTTTAGAGCCTGATTTTCACTTGTTTGAACAAAAAGTCTCTTAGACCTCTGCTCTGCCTTATGTCCTTCTCCAGTCCTTTGCAATGCAGATTTTTACTGAAAAAGTGACTCGTATCTTCTGAATCGTCAGTCAAGGGTGACAAAGAAGTCAAAAGGTTAAAGCCTCTCTTTTGAGGAGCAAGTAACTGTGTGAATGAAGAAATGCAAGCCTGAAATGGGATATAAATACTGTTCTTCTCTTTAAAATCTGCTTTCTGAGGACTTAACAGTATTTCATTTACTAGGTTAGTCTTCGAGAATGTACTTGAAAGTTTGGGAAATGATGGATAACCACACTTGTGTCAGGATTTTAGTTAAATTTGAAAGCAGCAAATCCTATCCCTGATCCTTTAGTAAAATAAATTCATAGAAAATGAAAGTTTAAACACAGAATCTACCCCAGATTGAAAGAATCTTTTGCTATTTGTAATTTACAGAACTTTTAGTAAGCGGTCTTTCAGAATAGATGTTACTGTTTCTTTAGCAGGCTAATAAGCACTTTTTAATGACAAATTTGTGTGCTTGTGTATGCGTATGCATTTTATATGTGCATATTTTTTATATACACATATGAAATGCATAAAATATGTGCATATTTATAAATATATATATGCATCCACACATTTTTAATAAGATATTTCCTGCTTCTAATACATTGTTTCTGTGCAAGAAATAAGAAAACAAGTTGACAAGACTCCAGAGTTTTGTTGCTTTTTCAGAAATGGATGCAGTAAAAGATAGGATATACACGTTGATGACTTCAACATGAAGCTGCATCTAGAGTATTTTAAAGACATTGTCTACATAAGCGAGCTTGACTCCAACTGTCCAACCTCCTCTAGTCCACCAAAATCACTGAGATCTGAGTGTATATGTTGAGGAGATAGGAATTGAAGGGATATAAGGGCCCCAGTCTCGCAAGCTTTAACCTCTCTGCCTTTCTGTTGTTTTTGGAGTTTCTCTACCCTTGTTTATAGCAAATGCAGCCATGGTGGTCTGGTCTTTAATTGATGTTGAGGTGCTCATGCACACTTGGGCTTGCACATGAACTTTTCCAGAGTGCTTAGAATAAGAGCTCTATAGCATTCAGGCATTCAGTTCCTCTACATGTAGCTCTGTAGACCGTTTTTGTAAGTTGTAAAGACCTGAATCTCCAAAGCAATTGGAGAGTGTCACATGAACTGAGTCTGTCATCTCTCTGAGAAACTCCCATAGATCATGAAGTGCAGGCTTTATACCTGATGGTATATTTGGCTAGATAAGATATAAAGTAGTTGCATATGGTACTTGAGCAGCGCTCTCAGTTCTATTAAGATTGTCTGGTACTATTAGAACTGGTTAGGTTTTTATGTAACTAATGCTCGTCTACTTCAAATAAATAAATAAAATAGTTTGGTGGCCTCTGTCATTTCTTACTGGTGACTCACTTGGGGAAGTATCTTGGCATTGTTTTTAGCCCTATCACCAAGATGATATCACTTCTGTAAACTTTATTTCACTCTGTCTCCCAATTGCACCCCCTTATGATGCAGAAATTGTCGCAGTAGGTCAGACAAAAGATTATATCTTAACTTTATGATATCTTACTGATTATACTTAGGTTAGCAGTGTCAAGAGCCCCTTTTATTTAGCGGTAAAGATGGGCCAAAGGAGAGAATTTAAATGCTGGAGTACTGATCATGCCTACTTGCTTGTTAGCACATTCTCTAACCCAGTTTGGGCCTTTTTCAAGTAGCCATCCCCAAGGCGATGCCCACATCTAGTCTGAGGCCCTGTGTCCTCAAGGGCTCCTTGCTGGGGAAGGCAACAGCCGATGATATTTCAGGAAGCCTCGTGCCCCTAAGCAGCCCTGTCCAAGATTGTGCTGCTTTATAAGACATGCGAGGCATGCCCTTGGTTTCACATGATCAGCTCCCTATTCTGAGAGGTGCAGTGCAAGGATCACATTATCTTAGTTTTGAATTAAGAAAAAAAAAAAAAAAAAAAAAAAAAAAGACACATAAAAATAATGCCATAGGGTCACGTGGGCCTTGGTGGCACGTCGGTAGCATGAATGTAGTCAAGTCATGCAGCCTTGGCTCGAGATTAGAGAAAAGCTTTTGGTTCACAGTTGTGTTGTGTTGCGTTGCGGGAGGGAGGGATTGTTTGCTTGGCCTTTTTTTTCCAAGCAGGAAAGGCATATTTGTCAAACTTACTGCTTATGTGTTTGTAGCTTTGGATGATGAATGATAAATAGTAAGTCTCTCTATGTAATGCTAGAAGTTCTTGAAAGCACAACTAGAAACTAGTAAAATGCTATCTTGTTCCAGGATTTAAGATTTAACAGATTTTTCTCATCCATACAAGGCACATAAATTGTAATATCCTTCAAGAGTGGATATGTGCTTCAAGACAGGAAGTTTTATAGAAAAGTATTTATCTGAGTTATTATGACACTATTAGTGTTGCCCTTAATGAGATGCTGGATGCTGTATTAATAAAGTAGTGTTTTGGTTTTGGGTTTTTTTTTGTTTTTCCTTCATTTAAATAGTTGTGTGTTATTCATTAAATAAATATATACACATACACTGCAATTTAAGAATGCTTTGGACTCCTGGATGTCTGCAGACTCATAGAAATAATCATATTGTTAGCGGTACTGGGTTCCCTTTCCCAGGTTATATCTGGAGATACATGGGATGGACTACTACTTCCATGATAGTTTGCTTCCTTCAGCATAAAAAGCTTTTACAGCATTGTGATTTAACAGGAAAATACTTGTTGTTGCAAAATATATCCAAAGGTGTTTTTGAAAATATAAATAAATGCCTTGAAGGCTAGTGTGTGGGTGCTCTGTGTCTCCCCCAGCTACCCTGGTTGATTTTCAGCTCTGGTTTTACATTTTCATACAACTTTTAAAACTGCCAAATTGGTTCTTAGTTGTCCTGTAAAATTTGGTGTTTCTTTAAATCTAACTAAAAGCAATTAGTGTTGTATATGAAATAATGTCTGGTTTATATTATCTTAGTATTTGTGGGGGTTTGGTTTATTTGCTTAACTTAAAGCTGCAGGCCAGTAAGGTTTTAATCCTGCACTTTATCTCCGGGGCTACTGTCTTGCATCAGTGCTTACTGTCCAGGTTCGAAGTTTCAGTTTAAAGTGTCTAATTATTCAGAAAAGATCCTTTGCCTTCAGATGGATTTGCTTGTCTGCTCGGACAGAGCCAGCATGTGCTTTGCTTTTCTTTCATTTTCCCAGGGATTTTGACTAACTCCACTGGGAGCAAGTGGTCATGGAGGTATTATAAGAATCAGTATTTTCGATGTCAGACTTGCATCTCTCGTTTCTATTTTGGGTAATGTAGTGCCTGAATTGTTGGAATTTTGAAAAGTAGAGCCCCCTGCAAAAAAAGTCTCACAGACCTAGACAATGTGGTAATGTGAGAAACCTTCATTTTTAACCACCCTTTTTAGAAGGAAAGAAGTTTCAAATCATCATGAGGAGCAGAGTACAATCATCTACAGCAGACAGGGTTGGGTTTTGTTCATTTTTGTTGCCAAAGCACCGGACCCTATCTATTTACAGCAAATAGATTCCTTACTACTTTGTAGGCAGCTGCACACAAATTTTGCTGAATTAGGGAATTCAGAGCAGAGTATCAAATTTTTAATTCTGGATTCAGAGCAGAGTGTCAAGATTTTAATGCTGAAAGGATTCATATGTGGTGAGCAAAGGCTCTAGAGACAGGGATGTGAGAGCAACACAGAAAGCAGTTAACTCTGGAGATGATTAACAGCTAGGTGTGGGGCAGGGACAGGAGATGGGAATAAAGATCAGCCTCAAATATCCTTCATTATGTAATACTTACACAAGGAAAGACGAGGAAGAGCACAAGGCATTATGTAAGAGCAATAAAAGCACAGGAAGAGTTTTGGGTTTTTTTTTTTTTAAGTTTTGAGAATTTTCTCACTCTTTTTAAAAATTTATGTTATTTTTCCAGATGCCATAAGAAAATTTTGTATTAAATACATAATGAAATAAAAACCACCTGAAAATGTCAAATATGTCAATATTAGAAATTATATTATAATTGCTCACTTACCTGACCATGTAGATTTTTCAGAATCTGATAGTAATATGTTGTTTTACCATGTCTTAGCGGTATATAGTGATACAGGCATAGCCTTAGATTTTTTTTAATCAAAAACTGTTCAGTATAATTGTATTAGATGTACTGAATTTTCCCAGTAAATTAAATTTCAAAGATATTTTAAATCTTAATGACATTTAACTAGGGAAATGGTGTAAAGACTGTGACTTTTCTTCATTAATGAATATATTATTTTCATATCTTGAGTGGTTTCATAGCCAAATAATATCTGTATGTTATGTCTCATTATTGTTTTAATAATAGGTGAACGTGAGCTATAGACACTTAGGTACAAATTGTCAAGATGTATAAGAAGTTCTCAGTTTTGATTCTTTTCAGTGTTTAAAACAGTTCTCCTGCATTCTCTTTTCAGTAGCCATTTTGGGAGAAAACTAAAATGAAACTGCCTGAAAACAGCATGAAGTTAGTTCAGCAGTGAATACTTTCGTAGGATAATTATACAAATAAAACTCCAAGAGTTTTAGTCGCCGTTATTATCAGCACAATAACTTCTCTTCAGGGCATAGCATAGTTCGTTTGATGAACTGATAGTAAGTCAGTACTGATGAAAGTACTGGTCTGAAAATTAAAAATATGTTCTGAGGCTAGAAAAAGAAATTCATGAAGAATTATGCAAAAGGATTGTGTAATTCATGCTGCTTATCAAAACTGTTAGTAAAGAATTGGCCATAATGGCTAACAAAGTTACAACCTCATAATAAGAAGAAACTTAGAGACTCTTAACGATAATTCACAGGTATTTCACAAAGACTGTCTTTTGTCCCCAAATTTGGTATGTTAATCACTGATAGCTTTTTCTCCTCTCCTTTCTGGAAGGTGGTCTTGGAATGCACGTTAAAGAAGGATCTCGTTTACAACAAAGTTACTCCTACTTTTTACCACTGGAAGATTGATGACAAAAAGTTTGGCCTCACGTTTCAGAGTCCTGCTGATGCAAGAGCATTTGACAGAGGTATTCGGAGAGCAGTAGAGGATATTTCACAAGGTATATATTTAGGCGGAGGAGTTGGGGGGCGAGGAGGGGTTTGTGTATTTATAAAGGTGCTAAAAGTATGCAAAGCACTTCAGTTTAATGCTGGTAGTATTTAAAGAGATGGATTGATCTGTAGCATTATATATGTATCCAGATTATAATGGATGTTTTAAAGATAGTACTTCTGGCATTTCCAAAGACCCAGATGTCTTAGGTTGTTTTAAGGACATCAATAAGGTAGTTCCTGTAGAACAAGCATTGCCTCTCCTGTAGAGATGAGGAAAGGGAGGAAGCTTGAGAGCTTTATTCAGGTCTTCTCAGAAGCTTGTTCATAGACTATGAAGTTGAATGAGTTGAGACCTCTAGTTCTCTGCCTTTCTGCTCACACTTTCAGTTCACAGACTTTTTCGCATACTAGAAGGCAACATGGTAGTTCTGAAGGTAGATTTGCATGGCACTAAAGAATTTTCTCTAGTGGTGGACTAAGCTGCTTCCAGAGTTTCACTGATCTCATGGAAATAATGAACTAAGAAAATTATTGTAAAGCTTCAATTTTGAGAAAAAAATAGGATAAATGTATTGCTGGGTGGGAGGAGAAAAGAGGAGGAGAAGGGAGCAAGGATTTGTTGAATGGAGAGAAAGTTTCTTTCAGAGCTGTAAAAAGCAACTCAAGGGAAAGTTTGGAAGAAAATACTCATTTTGTGCTAGCAATTTAGGGGATGGGATTAGTGTGCATGTTTTAAAAAGGCAAAGGGTAGGTTTTTTGAAGGAGAACACTCTTTGTCATATTGAAATGAATTCTTCTGAGTTATGCAAATATTGTTATCCCTGCAACAAAAGTAATGAGAGAACATTATAAGCACATGCTTTTTCTTTCTTAAGGACTTAGAACTCCATTTTCTGTAGATTTCAAAATTACAAATATAGGACAGCATGCTGACTGAAACATACATGTCTTTAATTTTCAAAATGCTGTGTTAACAAGACTGTGCTACTTCATTTCTGACTTTTGGGGATACTTTGAAAATTCTTGTACAAGAAAGGTGTGAACAAGATAAATAAGAATGTGTCTAGAATATTAAATAATACAGAAATTAGAAATGAATTTATTGAAATGAGATTATGAAATACAATAATCCGTTTGCATAAAAAGTGAACAAGTTTGTTCATATTATCTTCGGTGGATGTTGAAGGATGGAAGCAATAAATGATAAATAAAATGAACTTTGATTATTCTGTGTTTCCTACTTTCTCTGTAGGTTATCCAGCCTCCCAAAATGATGTTGAAGTGGCAGAAGACTGCTTTCAAGTAAGTATTTCCATTTTTTTATTAACTGTGCAGTTATTTATGGAAGATATTTGAACTTTTTTTTTTTGCTTAGCAAGAATAAGCAAAATTGGAGCAGCAGCAGATTTAAGTTTAATAATGTAAAATAAGTTCCAGAAGATTTATCTAGAAGCTTACGATACTATCTGCCTTAAACTTAGTAGTGAATATTTAATCAGTAAGATGATTAGTCATCCTAAGATGAAGTTTTGAGTTTAAAATGTCTGGTCCAGTCATGTCCTCTTAGCAGTCATGAGAAGATGAAATATTCTTCTGAATGAAAATAGACATTTGTTTTCCTAGACAAATAGAAATTTGTTCTAGAATCTCTCTGCAGTGATACGTACTTCTGACTCTCTATGACTGGGATTGAAATGATCCTGAGATAATGGTTAAAAGAATCTGATCTAACCTGAGGCAGAAGTTCAAATATTTTCCAGAAACATATATACTAAAGTAGAGCTACTTGGATAAAAGTTTTTATTGATCTGTCTCAGCATGAGTTTTTTTGAGCAGTTGCTGTGGGCCCTAATGTCATCAGAGGTATTAACTTAACTCATTCAGTGCTTCGAAAGTATAATATTTACGCAATAGTGTATCAAATGCTACAAAACCAATGCATAGAAATGCCCTATATCACCCAGAAACCCATATAATTAAGAATACAGTAATACAAGCAAATATTATGCATACTTACATACAGTAAATAATTGTAATGTAACCAAGTAGAAAAATGCTTGTGTTCTTGTATGCATGTCATCTATTTTTTCCTATTTTCCTACCTAATCTTTTTTTTTTATGTTGCCTAAAAAGGGCTTTGTTTTAAGACACTTTAACCTTACTTTAATAATCAGATATTTGTGGATTTCAAGTAGCAATAAGTTTTTGACAGAGTGGAGAAAATGTGTGCTAAAGTGAAGGCAACCCTTAATCAGCTTTCAAGAGATGTATTAATCCTTGCAATAAAGCATGTTTCAACAATTGTGCAATTTTTACAGGCCTAATGAGATTACAGGAAACAAATTGCCTCTTGATTAGACTGCCAAGTTATTATATTTCTGTATAGGAGTGCCAAAGTTGAAGTCAATACCTGTGATTCCCTATACTTGCGAACTTGGTTATTGGTCAAAAAGCAGAGAAAAGAAAATTACATCACATATTATATATACTTAAATCTATCCTTTTATGAAGTGGCTGTTTAAATCCTGTTACATTCCCAACAGCAAAACTCTACCTGATTTCACCATAGTACATGTGCTCTAATTGTGGATCCGTGCTGTGGATAGATAATAAGAATTACTTGTGTACTAGTGGCAAAAATTACTCCATTTGTCTTACTGGATCCCTGCATAACATAGTAAAATATGTGATGCTAGAATTGCCAATAATGCATCCATAATTGAAGACATATGATGTAGAAATACAACAGCATTTAGTTACAGGTCTACTCATTAAGAAAGGTATTCTGGAAATGCTAACTAATAGACATTCTTCTCCAAATGGTTCTTTCTTTTCCCCTTCCAAATTTGATTTACTATTGTAAGTAGAAGTTGTTGTCCTAACATTTTCAAATTTAAGGAAAAAAAAATTTAATAGAAGATATTGTGCTATATATTTGAAGAGTCATGATGACTTTTTATTTCCACAGTATAATTTAAACAGTCTAATGCCTTTCCTGTTTGTTCTGTGAGACATTCTCCCAAGTCTCTAGCAATATTTTTAATTGTGTCCTATTAAAAGTTTTAGAATATGTGCACAATATATGCTTACATATGCATAGGCATTTTGGTGAGTGGGCAGAGTGTTAAGAGATTGACACATAAGTATAAAAAAAATTCCAGTCGCCCCCATACACAGTATTGTTTCATCATAACAGATCTTCTAGAAGTGTCATTTATAGCCTTTGATGAATGATATACAAAAGATCAAACAGTAGAGCTTATCCTCATAATTCATAGTTTAAGTAAAAATACTGAATAGCCATATTTTTCCTAAAATAATAGGATATCAAAAAGAATAAAGAGTTATTTCATACTTTACTTTTCATCGCAGGGTTGTTAATGTACCTAGATTTCTATCTTCTTGATACGTTAATTAACACGGTGGCCCAAGTTTCCAACATGTCATCTGTCAGGATGTCATGTCTGAAAACATCAATTTTAGAAGGTTCTTGTCAGTTCTGTCACTGGCCATTCGAGCGTGTTGCCCATGCTAGTCTAAGCATCCTACTCCCCAGGATTCCTATATTTACTGCATACATTTGAAGTATGAATATAGTAGCTACTGTGTACATAAATTCGATTAACAGTTGTCTGGTTTTTAAAATCAAGATAATTGGCAATGAAGAAAGCAAGACGTGCTTCGTAAGTTGTTTTACTGGTCAATTATAGTCTGTGCTGCAAAGAGTAAATGAAATGATCCAAGTAATATCTAAACATACATTCTGTTGTACAGCTGGGCACGTTGTATTATCACATTTCATAACTGTAGAAGACAGAGACACAGCAGTTGTCTAAGACATGTTTGGAACGTCCAAAAATTGAATTCATCTAGTGCTCTCCTGGCTAGTATTTTGCTCACAATATTTTATCTTGGGTCACTACATTTGTTTGTAGTCTTTAAATAGAAATTCAAAAAGAAAGCATCTTCACTGAAAACCAAATATGTCAATCATAGTTCCTTTATTCAAAAATAGTGGGGGAGTGGGGAGCAGGGAGGTTTGTAGCTGCTCTTAAAGGTTGCATAAATTATTAAAATTACAGTAAGTTGCTAAATGAACAAACTATGTGCGAGTTGCTGATTCTGTTAAATATCCCTTAATCTTACTAGATTCATCTGAAATAGAAGCACAGAAATGGGTTGGTGCAAAACTGACTGCCTTATAATGTCTGTAAACAGATACTGGGAATAAATATGTGTATATACATTTATTTATATGGGGTTGTATACTGGGAATTTGTTTTGATGGGAGGTTTGAATTTTTTGATATAAAAGCAGGAGTTCCTATGAACTGAACAAGCTGCGTGGCTGCTGTAGTTTGCTTGCCTGTTCAAACGGCAGCTCTTTCTGCTGTCAGACAGAAAGCACTTTCTCTAGAACTGTTCTAGCTAAATTGAAAAATGTTAAAAATAGAATCCAGAATTTTCGTAGAAGTAAATCTAACTAAAAAAATCTACATCTCATACATTTTTGGGGGCACTTAGAAATAAAGTGCATAACTCTTAATTTTGAGAACTGAAGAATACAATTTTTGAGCCTCAATTCCTGCCAATTTTATTTGGTTCAGACATACTACTGAAATTTGCCAGGTAACCAGCACTTCTTAACAGTTTTGAGGTAAGAAGAACTGGAGCACTCGAGTTTACTACTGTTGGCAGAAAAAAAAAAGATGGAAAGTATAAGGGGAGGGAAAAGAAATTTGACTGGATTTTTATTTCAGAAGTGTGGGTATGGCTGATCCTCGCCAAAATGAAGGGGGAGAGGCCTACCACTTAAAACACGTTGCCTTAAGTGGTTTCGAGGTAGACAGGGAGGACATAAAGGGTTGACATGCCTTTTTGTAAATACACTATTCACTGAGAATTCTGTTTATTTTTGTCTACAAAGAAAGCTTTGCCCGAGTTTTATTTAAAAAAAAATAGACGTTGTGAAATTACTTGACATTGAAATAATTGATATTGTGATATGATTTAAACATGACGCTATATTGCTTGTATGGAGGAGAAAACACTACCTGATAAAGCACTGAGGATTAACCGTAGGTAGTACAAAAGTTAGCTGTGTAGTTTCTAGAAATAAAAGTAGTATTAATGTATATTACCATTTAAAATCTTAATATATGCCATAATTCTGTAAGGTTTATTTTGTTGGATTGGTATTTAAAAATGAAGAGGATTTTTCTTCTCCTCAGTGTCCGCAACAGGCTATTCACATGTCCCTGCCTGTTTACTCTAACAGACTTCTCATGCCTTCTGTTTTATTTTACTGATTTCCTCTTTGGAATCCCCAGTGACCTCTGGTGTTCTTTACATCCTCAGGTACAAGAGCTTTGGAGGAAATAATAGGCCTGTGAAATACTTACATTTGGGGGTTTTTTTGTTTGTTTATTTTCTGGATTTTTTTTTCCTTAAGCTATATTAATATTCAGACTAATCTGGGTAATATTTCAGGTCATGTCAGAAACACATACCTGACTGTAATAAAAGTTGCTTGCCAAATCTGTAAGTAATTGCTCCATCAGTCTGAGAAATAGCTAAAGCAGAAGGAGGATACTTAAATGTTTTTGAAACCTGTATCATTTATTCACAATTAAGAGGAAAAAGAAAAAGTGTGTGTGTGTGGGGGGGGGGAACAAGCTCTTCTTGTCTTTGTTAACATCAAACAGCAGAATTTCAGGCCTCATGGGAAGTAAATACAAGAACTGGGATGCAACGGAAATGTAGCCTCTCATCCATCCTTCTGTGTAATCATTCAACTCGCAGCAGAACATTTTTAACAGTGTTTGCAGAACAATGTTGAATTGTCTCCCAGACTTAACTCTGGCAAACTGGGAGAAGGGGAGAAGTGAGGAGGGAGAATCTGAAGAAGAAGAGAAGCTCAGTCTGGTTTTCATTTTCTCTACAGCTGTCATCTGGCTTTGAATTCTGCTGGAGAGCTACAGCTGGAGTCATTTTATTGCTTTACCCGGCATCCTTTCGCCTGCGCGCACAGAAATGTTTTAGTAGTCTTGGAAAAAAAGTCAAAGTATCTCTTAGCAACCATAGGACAGTAATTATTATACCAGCAGCTGGGAGCAAACCAGATTTCCGTTGTGCATTAAAAACTGGCGTAGGTTATTCAGTATCATCTGTAAAGTAACCTATGCCAGTACTGTACTTTGCAGGCTGTGGTTAAAGGATATTGAATGTGGGCGGTGTAATTGCTTTGGACAGGAGGAGAAAAGGGGAATGTGTGCATTTGTGTTTGTGTGTCATATTCTGCGTGCTTAATATGTAAAGCTTAGTTCTTGTGGAAAAATGTGCATGTTTGCTTAAAAGCAGCTTCAGCACAATAGAAGCCTCTCCTTTTGGATTGTCAGTGTTTCCATTATAAATACAGATTTTTAAGGTGTTTATAGCCTTGTCATAAAATGTGACATTGGAGTAGGAAGTGTCTGTCCAAAGAAAGCCTTTTTGATAAGTGTGGTTTGGCAGTGTCTAAACTATTAGTTCAATTAAAACTGCAGAGTTTGGGAGATTCACTTGGCATGTCTGTAGCTCTGAATAATGAATGTCTGTAGGCTAAAGAACGTATTAAATGACCTCTTCCTCTTCTTTTCCTCTTTGTAAATGGGAGAGATGAGGCTCTATCCACTTATGCGTAATACCTGGGTTGGTAAGCTGGATATTTTTGAACAGTTGTTGCGGAGCTCTTGCCTTACAGAGGTCAAATACATTTCTCTGTGTCTTGACCATCCCAGATCTGCCCTTGGAACAGTTAGCTGAGTGGCTTCAGCTGTGGTATCTGTGGTGGAATTTCATGAGGCTTTCCCCTGCGCTTGGTGCATGGGGAGCACTAAGGCTTACTTAAGACCAGGTTTTACATTTTATACCTTGGTTTCAAACACTGCTAACACTATAGTAAGTGTTTGGTGTCTTTGTCCTCAACTGGATAGTGTTGCTCTTCCCTACCAAGGAGAGAGCAGTTGTGCACGTGGGTCCTTGGGCTCCCTGTCTTCCCGGTCCTGCTTTGGGAGGAGAAAGGTATGAGTAGAAACCACTTGTCACAGTACTGGAAAGCAAAGCAGTTGCAACTATTTTGTCTCCGTTGTGAATGCAGGCAGTTCTCACGTGGCTTGTATCAGTGTTGCGGAAGCTTTTTGTGCTTTCGGGCCCTGTACCTGCAGGGGGCAGCTAGGAGGATATTTGTTTGATGTTTCACCAATATTTGATGCTTTCTGCCTCAATTCTTGCTAGTCATTGTAATGGTATTTTGTCCTCCTTCCCCAATGGTATTTAATCACAAAACTTACTTTTGACAAATGAGACTGACCATTTCACAGCATTGCCAGGCTCAAGGAGTGGTTAAAAAAAAAAAAGTTTTGTTTGGAGTTTTACCTGTCTTTACAGTTTTGCAACTGAATTTGAAATCATTTTCTTTTTGCAGGGTGTATGTTCTCTGTTATTAAAGCTGATTTGGTGCTTTTCACCTTCCTCAGTTTTAATGTTCTCCTACTCAGATTGAGAATTTATATAATGTTCAGAAGCAGCAATGAGTTGATTGCTCTTAAAGATTAGGAGCAGAAGAGCTAGATTTGCTTTATCTAGCTGTCTTAAAATTTGATGCACGAGGCTTTTAAATGACTTGGATGCTGATGTAATCCCAGAATAAGTTCCTTTAGTTATTTTGATAACCAAAAGCTGAACATTCAGTGTTACTACTGAACTTGCCAAAATCTTCAGTCTGCCTCAGTATTTTTCTGTGGTGATTTTTGCTAGTTGCCCCTTGAATATTTTCCTGATCTATGCAAATCCTTATAGTAGATCTTTAGAATGAAATGAAAACATTTGCAATGCCGAAAGTTGCGTAATACCAGAATTTGCTCAGTGCTATCAGATGATGACAGTCAGTTAACTTTTATAGTGTCTCTCAATACAAATAAAACATTGTGTAATATATGTTTTTGACAGCCTAATAATATTCATATCAGTGTGATCCTCTATATCCTACCTATATCCAGATCTTTTAAATTGAATCAGAATTATTTGTTTTTGTATTCATTTCAGAAAATTGGTCAGCTGCACTTTCAAGGAAATGTTTCACTGTTTTATTCAGAATGGCATATATTCAGCAAATCTCTCACTCTGCATTGCTGTGTTGTCTTACTTTGTATCCAATTGCCCAATGTAACCTTAATTTCAATAAAGATGGTCACTAGTTTTTAGTACACACTTGCTGTAACTGGGTATTTTAACAGAACCAATATATGCTTAAACTGATCTTTCCATTTTTTTTCTAATATAAGCTGATTTGTTAAGCAGTCTTGCCTTATAATTTAAAAAAAAAATCTGACTAGCTTTTGCCTTAGTTTGATTTAGAGATTTTCTTCTTTTGCAGTTGTAAGTTGGTAAATATTGACAGAGTCACGGACAAATAATCTTAGAGACTAGGTTAACCTCTCCTCTCTTAAAAAGGTTTCTCATGTCTGGTTTTGTAAGCAAGTGAGCTATAAAGACCTGTATCTCTAATTCCTAAGTTGTATATGCCCTGCAGAGAATGAACTCTTATTTTCCAAGGCTCACTCACGGAAAAGCAGCCACTTTTCAAAATGCTTGCGTTTATAGATGCGACTAACACATGATACAGAATACGAATGCAGTTATATTTCAGTAGTTTTGGGGTAAACGTAAATTCATTCCAAGGCTAAAGTCAAATTCTTATATATTCTAGGCTGCTCAAGAAAATACTTCAAGTTCATTAATGAAAGATCACCTTTTCCAACATGAAACTGTAGTAACCAGTGAACCTTACAACAGTTCAAACTTAAGGCCTTCAACATTTGAGGATTTCAACTCAAGGAGAGCCTGTTTTCCCAGCCAGCCTAACCAGGTAAGACTGCCAACAAAAGTAGTAGTTGTGATTTTGAGTACTGAGTTCATTGCCCAGTATTTAGTTTCTGAAAAACAAGCTCTTTCATTTTATGTCCCTGTTTATACCCTTATAGTCTCAACTTGCTTGGCAGACAAAATAACAAAGCAGTATTATGGCAGAGGTAAAGCTTTGTGAAAGAATTGGCCTATGCTCTAGTGCAGCAGACTACACAAGTAATAGTCCTTCAGAGTCTCTGAAGAAGTCAAATTTCTGTATTTGAAGCTTTGAGAAACCATTTATGTTTGCTTAGAAAATGTTTATTGGCCATGGACTCAATTTTGATTGCATGAATGTTAAACCTGATCTGATGAGAAAGATTCAAGTGCAGCTTGAAAGTGGGTATTTTGGATGCACTGTTATTATTTAGGCCTGCTAAATAATTTCAATTAAAAAAACGTTTATGGTTGCTAACTGCTTGCTAAACTAAAATATAATGTTTTGATACAGAAAGGAAACTTTGCATCAGTTACATATGAAGAGTACTAAAAGTGAACTGATATTTAAAGAGGAAAAGGGGATATTTAAAGGGGAAAAGAACATTAACATGAGGAAGGCCAACATACTGAGATTTTCCAGAACAGGTCCTATTTATATCACATTAGATTTGAAAGCTAATATTAAAGCTTTTCCTTTAAAAATGTACATTTTGCTGTTTTGAGAGAATTACAGAACTGACTGTTTTGGTAGCCTATAGAAGTAGATTTACTGGTGAAGCAGGAAATAATTGATCAGATGGCCTCATGCCTAGGAGCAGGCACATGTGGAGTTTTTTAGAATAAGGCAAATGCCACAGGTCAAAGGAGAGTGAAAGTTCAAGGAGCTGTGTACATGTCATCAGAAATTATTTCTACATCTCAAAATAAAACTTTTATAAATATACTAGGTCATTCTTGCAAAAAAGATCCTGTTGAGGGCTTGTATCAGCTCCTTTACTGCTCTACTGTGTGAAAGAAATAAACTGTGTTATCTGGAGAACTAGCCAAAAGGCTTGAAATTAGGAGGTTCTGAATTTTAATCATGTCTCTCTCCCAACCACCTTTCTGTATAAGTCATCTCACTTTGTGGTTCACATCTCACTTGTGATAAGTCATCTCACTGTATGTGTGTCAGAAGATACCTATTCCTTCCTCTTCCCATTTACTTGCAGAGATGTTTTGTGTGTGTGTGTGTACATATATATTTTATTATTATTATTTTTAGGGTAAGAGTAGATGGATGATTAGGGTATTGTGGGTCATAATTATTTTCTCTACTGCAGTAACCAATATGATCCTAAGTTCTCAGGGAAAGCAGAGCAGCCTAAACTGCCTCCATTTTTCAAAACATGTATAAAATTGGCTACAGAGGAAATGGCAATCTGAGTTGTGGTACACGGGGTGCTGCCTGTCTGTTGTAAACTAAATAGAAGAACTTCCTTTAAAATGAAAAGTGCTAGAATTGACTTCCTGCATACTGAAGTTATGGGAGATTCCACAGAGGTTTAAGTAGAAATGAAGTTCTTGAAATTTTTTTTCCTCATTTTATAGCACTGGCTGCACCCCACACTTGTATCCTTTTTGCGTAGTCCCGGTGTATATTTAGAGCATAAGCAAGTCAACAAAACCTCCCATGCTGTATACATCCACACTGTAGTTATCTCTGCTGAGCTCCAAGTGTGTGACCATGTGGCACAGCAGATTTTGAGGTAAATGCCAGTTTCATTCTAATGATGTATAAATAGGTTTGCACACTCTTACTGTGCTCAGGATTTGAATTACACAACAAATATGTGCTCAATTCAAGATAAAGAAGTGATTAATGCTACTACAGATTCCTTGAATACTGCAAGAGCAAGCTCTTAAAACATACCAAAGTCCCTCAGATATTCCACTTCTAATAAATTGCCTAAGATAATTTTAATACTTTAATATTATAATCATCTGCACTTGTCCACATGCCGTGGAGCTGTGAGTTGAACAAAGCTAGGTACATTCATTTGTTTAAGGGGAGACAGTGAAGGCTGCAGCACTGAGCAAGTGCTTTCAAATAATGTGCAAGTTCAGCCACGTCAACAAAATTTTTCTGCCGCGTTTGTCATTGGCCGATTATGTTTGTCACAAGAGCCTCTGGAATTGCAATTTGATATAAGGTTCTTCCTCACATCCTGCTCCAGCACCAAGACTACTCTTTCTCCTGAGGCTAACTAGGCTGGGGTGCAGTCCCGCGCGACCAGAGGAGTGTGTACGCTGCTCCTCATGAATTTTGCTGATGTTTGTACATAACTGAATCTGGATTTTGGATTATTCTGAAGGTTTTATGTACCCCATATTTTTGCATAGGTCCTATAAAACACCTAAGATGGTAGACACTTTATTATAAAAAAAAGCTTTCAGTTCCAACATTTTTCCCGTTCACTTTTTTTTTTTTTTATCATTTCCCCTTTGTTTTTTTACTGCTTTCCTGATGAGATGTGCACGCAGAATGGAAGAATACCATTTTTTTTACATGTTGACCCTTAAACATTTTAGAAGGTGGTTGATTTGGGATTTAGGGGAAAAAATGGATTCTGTGTATTTATTGTTATCCTTAAATGAAAAGCATTCAAAGATTGAGGAGAGGTCACATTCTTCAGTTATTAGTGTTTATATTTTTCTCTAATGTCTCTTAGCTGTCTTGGGGATTGGAGCTGGAGAGTTTTTGTTTGTTTGTTTGAGGCTTTGTATTTTTGTTTTTTTAATGAGGGGATTTATTGAGTGTATTAAATGTTTAGTATTTTGTGTGGGCAGTGGGGTAAAGAACCTTTATACCTGTAAAACATGGAAACTTTATAACATCTTTAAACTGTTGGGTTTTGTTTGTTTTTTGCTTAAGCTTATGCTATTAACAGATTAAAACATCCAATAATCCATACGTATTAGTTGTTGATGCAGAGGCAAAGGGCCTTTCTACTTGAAAGCAGAGCACTATTTGGAGCTTCTGGCTTCATAAGCAAAGAGGGGCCCCAGAGCTTCTCCGTCAGCGCCTGGGACGGGCGGTAGGGAAGAGCAGAGTCCAGCTGCGGCTGGACAGGATGCAGCCTTTCTGCACCCTGCAACCCCCAGGCTTTGTGGAAGTCCAACTATGCAGGCTGGAGCCGAGAATAAAAATGTCCTTGTTAGTTTACTCCAGTTGCAGCTCCCAGGGCAAGGCAGCTCTGATTACAGTTCTGTACTGAAAATGTATCACACAGGATTTTCCAAGCAAGGAAGTTAGTACAGGCTACAGATATTCTTACGTAATAGGAGCTGGCACGTTTTAAGCTGCTTTCTTTTCCCTTCCACAACTGCCTCCTACCCCGAAGCTGAGACGTGCAAACTTCACTGTAGTAGGAGCTCATGCAATGTGAAATAAAGTGTGTTAGCTCAAACCATCATCTTTAATATTTTCTCACTGCAACAGATTAAAAACATGTAGTTCATCTGTTCCCTTAGCTCTACAATAGAGATATCTTATTTCTCATTAGCTGGGTCAGCACTGACAAGGCGAACACCCAAAGCAGTGGCACAGGCCAAGACATCCTCCCAAGTCATTCATGGTTCTGGAGTAATTTGTAAGGCCAGGAGTGGATTAGAGATTGGTTTTCTGTCCCTTCTGTGAGATGGTTGGCAGGCTGCATTTGACAGTAGGAGGAGGTGGAATTTGCCTTGAAGCTCGATTATGTTACAGCTCCCATCATAGGAAATAGAATAGGGAAAATAGAACTGTCTCTCTGCAAGGTAGGAACCCAGGGACAAATGGAGACTCTCGCTTCTGTGCCCCACTGCCTGCGAGGTGTGTGGACCTCCTTCCATACGCATGTGCCAAATTCTTATCCTGTCATTACTTGCACCCTTTCTTAAAAGTCAGTTTGCAGTGTCATTTGAGTAGCATTCAACAGCTGATTCTTTGCAATGTTGTGACTGTTGCTGATTTATACTTGACACTTCTCACCATTGCCATGTGTTCCTCAGTCTGCATTCACTTGCAGTCCCCTATCTCACACTTGCCTGTAAATTCTGTGATATTTCGATTGGGATGTTTCGAATTTGCCACCTTCTAAAACTTAGTTTCTTGCCCCTTGGCCTTTCATAATGTGACAAAACAAACAAGAGCTCTGGCTTATCTCTGTGCTGGTTGTTGTGTTTGTGCTTAGCCTGTTTCTTCTTACTTGCCTTTTAAGGCTAAAAAGTCTTGAGTTATGGTCAGTTCATAACAAGAAGAGAATTTAGAAAGCACTTGCCCATTTGCCTGATTGTGTCCTAAGATAACCTGTTTAAGTTAAACACTCAAAAAGGGGAGATGCATTAAGAAACCACTGTAACTGAGCGTAAGAAACTTGTCTAATCATCCTGCTACTGAACTTAGCAGAATGTTATTCTTCATATGGCAAAATCCATGTGTAGAATAGTGTTTGACACTGGTTACTCATTTTCTGTTATACATGTACATACATATACACAATATCCTTGTGACACTTAGACATGAGTAACTCTAAGGAAAAGTATTGGGCAGCTATTCCTAAAGCAGCAGGTGGTCTCTGCAATTAAAAGTCAGGATTTGCATGTGGAATTCATTGCCACTGTAAGATATAAAATTAAAAAAAAAAAAAAGCTTAATTCAAAGAATAGCATGAAATATTATGTGAATCCCAAAATACCCAGAGCTCTTTATGGGAGATACTAGAAAGGAATATGAAACCTCGGTACCAGTATCATGCAAAAGGCTACCTAATCTGGAGGAGTCTGTAAATGTTTTTTAAAAAAAAAAAAAAAAAAAAGTTTAAAAAAAAAAGCAGAAAATATAAACTTCAAACAGCAAGGAAAAAATGTAAAAATCTGCACTCTGTTTTTTACTGTGTATAAAGGTAGAATTGTGGGACTTTGCTATAGTAAATTTATCTTGCGTTGCTGTTTCAGGTCTCATTGAAGTCAATCAGACATGTGAGTTTTCAGGATGAAGATGAAATCGTAAGAATAAACCCCCGGGATATTTTGATACGTCGTTATGCAGACTACAGGCATCCTGACATGTGGAAGAATGACCTGGAGAGGGATGATGCAGACTCAAATATACCATTTTCTAAATCGGACAATAAAAAATCTGACTATTTATACCCGTGTGGGGATGGAACTAAGCTGAATTCCCTGAAAGACTCAAAGGGTTCTGTGGTATTTAAAACTCAGCCTTCCTCCTCAAAATTTAAGAACTCCAAGAGAAGAAAAGAGGATGGGGAGCGCTCCCGCTGTATATACTGCCAGGAGAGGTTTAATCACGAAGATAACGGCAGAGGCAAATGTCAAGATGCTCCGGATCCCATCAAGAGATGCATCTACCAAGTTAGCTGCATGCTTTGCGCAGAGAGCATGCTCTATCACTGCATGTCCGACTCGGAGGGCGACTTCTCAGACCCCTGCTCGTGCGACACGAGCGATGACAAGTTCTGCCTGCGCTGGCTGGCGCTCGTGGCGCTGTCGGTCGTGGCGCCGTGCATGTGCTGCTACCTGCCCCTGCGCGCGTGCCACCACTGCGGCGAGGCGTGCGGCTGCTGCGGCGGGAAGCACAAGGCCGCGGGGTGAGCGGGGCCGCGCGGCGCCGCGGCGGTCTCCTTCTTTCCAGCAAGCCTCGAACGCGGATTTGTGACAGCTCTTTTTTGTTTCCTCTCGGCGAGCGGCGGCGGGGGGCGTCTTTCCCGCGCGAGGCGCTCGATGCGGAGGGAGCGCCGGGACTTGTCGGACCTTGGCATTTTACAAGTGCCGGCCGTGCCTGACTGTTCCCTTGGAGCGCATGGCGTTGGCTGCGAGTTGTGAAGGAGTTTTGGCAAAGGAAAGCCTGTTCTTATTATTGGCTATAAAATGAGTATATAAATTGCGATTATACTAAAAGGGATTAACTTTTTGCCACTTTGTACATTCGTGGTTTAGGTGAAGGGGCTCTTTTAAAAGGATTAAAACTTATCTGAGGGGAAATTTTAACTAAAAGTGCACTAGTGACAGTTGATTTAAGATTAAGAAAAGTTAATACTTGGCAAATGAGAAGTGAAGCTGATTTTAAGTGCAACTAAATCACTTATTAATAGTTTTTTGGAAGCGACTTTATGTATAAATAACAAATGTTTATATTTAACTAAATGTGTAAGGTACGAATTACTACATGTTAAACTTTCCTTCCCTCTGTTATAGTAGGTATGGACCATATCTACTGTCACATTCCATGATAGTATTTTAAATATTTAATTAGTTTTAGTTGCATTTTTATTCCAGATGGACAAATTGATATTTTCAGTCCTGTTTCCCTTCAGCTACAGTTTGTGTTGAGTTGTATCCATACATTCTGATAATCTAAAAACCTTTAAAATATTAATTATTCTAGTCTTGAGTGACCAATATTTTTTTTGTTAAGCACAGATGTAATTGTCTAAAATGTTCTTGTTAGAACATAACATTTATTTTTATATATAAATGACTTTGATTTAAACATAATAGCAAAAAGGAAGTTGTTTCTGTTGCTCAACCAGCAAGTTGTTTTCTTTTGGGGTGTCCTCCAAAAATCCTTTATTACGTATACAAATGTTCATTAAGCGAAAGGTACATTAAGGCAGTTGTAACAAGTTGTCATCAGTGTTCTTGTTTATCCTTCTGTTAAACTAGGATCCTGTTCAGCTGTTTATCAAGTACTATGATTAAAACAAAAGATTAATAACAAAAGTGAAATTGTTTTCATTATTTTAACTGCAACCTTTTCTTCTCTGAGTGGGCAAGAACAAAACTAATGTGTTTTTTTATTTGTTTGAGAGAGAAAAAAACCAGCAAAAGATTTTGCTTGAGAAATAAGTTATAGCTCAGGCAAAATTGGAGTGAACTTCCTAACTGAGTGAGTTTGGAGGGAGGCTGGGAGGCAGGGAGAGTGAATGTGTGTGTGCCTGTATGGGTGGGTGGTTGTATTATGTTTTCCTTACAGCTTTGTATTTTACTAAATGCCTAATTTTCAGATAAGAATTTAACAGATTAATCCCTAGCAAATTTTTAAAGATATTATATGTTTTGCTATTTTGTGAAGTAAGAAACATTTACTTCTCATTAAAGACATGCAAAACTAATCAAGATAGTCAGTCCTTCATTGAGGAAAGTGCCTATTTGGTATCCTGGCTGGAGTGGGACAGACTGTTCTCAGTACCCTTGTTACTGAGCAAACAAAATAACTAATTGATTTTAAAAGATGCACATGACTCTACTTTTCTCATTTCCTATGCATTTTTTCAATATATTCTGTGTAATTTTTCTTTCTGCATGTATCAATGCCTTTAATTTTTCTCTGTAGCCCAGGAGTAAAGTAAGCAAATGTATATAACATCTGTCTGTAAAATACTTTTTAAAAGAAAACATTTATATTTATATTACAGCTTGAATTGACCACATTATGTACATAGATCATCTCAAAGTATTATTTCACATTGAAAAGAAGACAAATATATTGATAACTGTAGAAGTTACGAAAGAGCTTCTAGTTTTGTACTAAAAAGTTGATTGGATGAATTAAGTCCAAGAATATGATGCTGTAGCAGCAGTCTTGGTTTTTACTGTTTATATATTTGAAAGCTGCTACTCTGGTTGATTTTTGTGCTTCACATATTTTCAGCTAAACTGGTTACCTAGAATAGACTGTTAACTTTAAAAAACAACTCTGGTGAAATGGGAATTTATGGTGTTTTTTGTGAATGAAAGAAATAGAGTATTTGTAAGTGCTAGGTTCATAGTTCAAGGTGAAGACAGAGATGAGCAACCTAAGAAAAGAACTTGCTGGCTGTATAGGAAAATGCTGTAGAATCGTGTTGTTTGTATATATACTTCAGAAAGAAATGAGCTTAACAATTTCCTCTGAGCAGTATACAACGTAGTGAAACTCCTGGTCCTGTACTGTATTTTATATGCAACATATATGCTTTAATATTTTTATTGAATTTGTGCGTTAATATTTTCAATTTGCTTTTAACCACTTTGCTGCTAGAATGGTGTCTTCATCTTTTCGCTTTACTTCCTAAAGACGTGCTTCATCTAAAAACGTTAACAAAATTACCTACGTTTCGGGTTTTCTTCTTGTGATGGACCTTGGAGGCTGCCCGGCCCCGTCGGCGCGAGCTAAAGCGCCGCAGTGACGCGTGGCTGCGCCGGGCTCGTGTTAGTAGGATGGACACGTACTGCGTTTCCTCCCGGTAGGAGCCTTCCCCACTTGTGCAGTGTGGAGGTGAGCAATGGGAAGTGGAGCTAGCGCAGCCCCACTGCAGCAGTAGCTCTTACACTTGCGGCTCCTGCTTCTGGCAGCAAGTAAAGTTTATTCTCTCTCTTCTGAAATACTTTCTGAAGGGAGGAAGAAATACTTTCTTTCCCTTCTTTTGGAGGAGAAAAGAGAAATTGCTTCTCCAGTTCTTATTCCTCCCTGCTCACCAAACGTCAGAACTGTAGTTTTTCAGGCATGTAGTAGCAGAGCTTTGTGTGGCTTGAAGGGGACACCCAAGCCTTGGGAAACCATCGCTGAATATCAATTCCCTGGCTTATTGAAAGCCTCAGTTACCATGAAAATTAAGTATTTCCCCTTGAAAGGACGAGGGGGAGGTAGATCGGAGGCAGTGCTCGTGCACCATCTACTGGGGAGAAAACTGGCTTCATTCAGGCATAGGCTTGGCTTGCACAGCGGCTTATGTAACAGCCTGTTGGGGCAGAACTTAAGCTACAGAAAATGCAGTACATTTTAGCTATGAATCTGCAGTAATTTGGACTCATACAGCAACTCTTGGTTTTTGTTGTGCCTCTTAAAAGTTCGTGTTAATCGAAAAGTAAACACGTTTTAATCATAGGTTTTGTTAGGCTTAGAGCAGCACAGTGGCCTGTTACACAAGAGCAGAGGAAATCGGAAAGGAGATGAGAATCGCTCCGAGTCTGTTGCTGCACTCGCGTGTTTGTCCCCTGCAGACCCCTCCGGGAGCAGAAGGGTGAAGGAGGGATCCTGGTGCGCAGGGCGGCAGCCGCCGTTTTGGTTGGGGCCGTAAATGGGCTCGGAGGTGCCCAGGTGCGTGAGCGCTGCAGCCGTGCCCCCCACCAAAGCAATACTCTGGCGATGCCCTGCAGTTACTATGGGAACTCCCTCATACGGTGGCACCAAGCTCAGATTCGTGTCCAGGGCTCGGGTGAGGGATATTCTGCAGAGGCTTAACCCCCACGGCTCCGCTAAAGCGAGGGGGTTTTGAAGGTGTTTAGAAGAAAGTCTTCATTTTGCACGCTGGACTATTAACATTCCCATTTCGGATGTGTTCTCTTCAGGATGGTCCGTCCATACGTACCTGCAGGATGGTGTTGAATTCCCATGTAAATAGTGCACGGCTTTTAAATTAGACTGTGTATCTCTCCAGAAGTGATGGCATTGTATGTGGTCAGTACTGCGAGACGTTGATAGTAGTAAAATGAAGATCAAAGTAAAGGCTGACAACAGAATAATATTTTTTAAAGGATTCCTTATGGTATTGTTAGTCCAGCAGCTGGGTGGTTAAAACTTCCATTTCCCTTGATGCACTGATAAATACAAGCTTACCTCCCACCCCCAGAAGCTTCTTTTCTGTAATTGCAAGAGTTGTGTTTAGTTTTAAGAAATCAAAGCATTCAGTGAAGAAGCTGCCTTTGTGTTTGAGTATAAACTACAGTATAAACTGTACATAACTTCTCTTCTTTTGCTCGGTGTCTCTTGCTTTCCACCCTAATGACCTCGAAGTGCCTCACGTGTATATTGTTTCCATTAAAACCTCTACTGCTATTTCTTTCTACTAAATGGTGTATAATTCAGTTAACTCACCCCATAGGTGTTTCCTATATGTGTAAGAATATAGCTTGTTACTTTCAGTATATAATGTAAATATGTTGTTAAGTTTGTAACTGGTTTGTTATATCTTGTAAGTTGACATAGCAGATAATACCATTTAAAAAGAACACCCTTGTTTCAATGTTTTTTCCTGTAATTACCTGATTAAAACTATCTTAAAATGAAACCATTGAGCTGTTTCTTTCCATTCTGTGTTGGCATTATGCAGAATGGTGTGTATGAAGTTAAATGTCATAGCTCAAGAACGGATTAAAAAGGTGTAAATCCAGGTAGTCTTTTTGCTGCCCTGTCTCGCTTACTTATTAGGTAAAATGTTAATTCAATCATCTTAATCAAAGTCTGTCAGAACTAAACATAGCATTAACTTCAAGGACCTGCATCTTGCATCACGAGAACCCTTTTTTTAAGAGATGCTATAATGTTTTAAATGAAAATGTGCTTGTACCAGGTTGCTTTGTATATACAGCAGTGCGTGTCCTTGCCATCCTGTTCTGAAGGTGCCAGGAACACAGAGCTGTCGGTTGCTTTATATGATTATATTCGTTTGAGCTTTCATTACCTATCCAGCACATATTCTTCTATCTCCTACGCTGTGCCATGCCAGAAATATGTATGTTTGGGTATAATTTTGAGCTTTGTATAAGTTAATCAGGTATAGACCAGGAAAACTTACTTGCTCATGAAGAAGAATGGCTGGAAGATGAACCTGTACAAATCTGTAGGACTTGGTAATTTGAAAGGTCCGTGGTCAGGGTTTTAGATGGATTATTCTAAATTTAATTTCATTTGTGTCTGACTTTTGCAGATATTTTCTTACTGGCTACAATTTTGATATAATCCCCACAAGAGCTTTGGGGGACCCTGGCTCAAATCGTTCATATGTGGGAAAACTGCTGTTCATCCAACCAATTTCTACCTTGAACTTTCTCATTGCAGGGTCACATACGAGAAAGTGACTCAGCATTACCTGTGGCGTTTTTGAGAGTTAAGTATTTAAGAAGTGTCAGGTTTTTGTCAAATCATTCTAATTTCATGGATAATGAACAATCTTCTGATTTCAAACAAAAACCAAAAGGACAGGTAAGAGTTGGGGGAGGGTTGAGAGTGCTTTTTTGACTGATAAGTCAAACTGAACTGCAGGGGCTTATGAGTCTAATCCAGAGCTGAAGTTAATCCATAAATTATTCTCAAAAATTGCACTTTTGGCACAATTTGAAGGACACTTCAAATTGCACTGCAATTTGCAGTGAAGGACACTGCAAAACTGTAGCAGTTAGTCTGCTGTATAAGAAATAATATTCAGTATTTTTATATCACTGGTTCACAGACCTTCCAGATTTTTGTCATGGATCACAATGTGCTGTTATATCCAAATGGAAAGACTTTAGTCTGTAGAGCTATGTCATCATCAGCCACCAGTTAGGAGCTACGAATGGAATTGAATCGCTCAGAAACAGACAGAACAAGGCAATGCAGGAGGAAAAGAATAGCTCCCCATTTCATGCTTTTTCTGTAGGGTGGAGGGTGTGTGCGTGTATCCCAGCATCCACGGTAGGGATCTGACTAACCTATACTTGCTTGGAAGTTGGTGGAGGTGTGAGATGCAAGAATGTTTATCCCAAGGTGTGTGCATGCAGCGGAGGGTCAGGGTTGTGTGTGTGGAATAAGGGGATGGGAAAGGCAGGCAGAGGAGGAAGAGTGTCCTCTGGGTGCTGTTCACAAAATCAGCCTGCTCTGCCATGAGCTGTCAAAATGATACAA